CTGATTGATTTATTGTCATGTGTACTGAAATACAGTGAAACTACAAGCAGTACAGGCAGATCACAGCAAGCAAGGGATGTACAGATCAAAAAGACTTAGAGGCACATAGGCTACATTGCAGGTTACATTTATTGAGGCTAGAGTCTGTTCAACAGTCTGATAACGGCCAGAAAGAAGCTGCTTCTGAACCTGCTTGTGCATGTGTTCAGGCTTCTGTATCCTCTGCCTGATGGAAGAGGGTGTAGGAGATCATTACCAGGGTGTGATGGGTCTTTGATGACATTGGCAGCCTTTCCGCGGCAGCGAGCTGTGTAAATGGAGTCCATTGATGGAAGATTGCCTTCCGTGATGGTCTGGGCTGTGCACACCACCTTCTTTAGCATCTTACAGTCCTGAGCAGAACAGTTGCCATGCCAGGCCATTATGCACCCAGACAGCAGTTTGGGTCTATACTTGCTACAGTTTAGAAGAATGAGAAAGATCTAATTAAGGTACATATGACACTAAAGGGGATTGACAAAACAGACATACAGAAAATGTTTCTTTTTGTCAGGCAATCTAGAATGAGCGGTCATATTTTTGGGATAAGGGGTAGCAGATTTAAAACAGAGATGAGGAGAAATTATTTCTCTATGAAATTCATCACCCCACAGTGTGATAGATGCCAGGATATTGAGCAAATTTAAGGAGGAGACAGATAGATTTTTAATTAGTACTGGGTTAAAGGGTTATGGAGGGCAGGCAGGAAAGTGGAGTTGAGATCATCAGCGATCTTATTGGAAGGTGGAGCAGGCTTAAGGGCTTGAATTGCCTACTCCTGCTTCTTATGTTCTTTTACCCCTTTTATCAAGACAATTACCATTTTCCCTCTTATAGGTAGTATGCATATTTTTAATTAACCCATTGAGATGTGTTCTGATAAACCACTAGAGCAGGTGGGCTTTGAATCCAGGCTCTTTATCCACCTGTAGAGATTTCTGTAAGGGAATCTCCTGTAAAACAAAGGAGAGCATGGAACCAGGAATGCAGCCTTGGAAAATCCAGTCTGACAGCCAGGTAGGGAAGGAACAGTGTTTGGCTCAACCTTTGCTCACATCACTGCATCAAACCCAAAAAAACACACACAAGGACTCTCTGGAGAAAGCACCCAAACAAGGGATCTTGGCAAAGCATACAGACAAAGAATAATTCTGCATTACTCTGATCAGGGTCTTCTGGGTGACTGTGCCACATTACCTACCAGGAATATCACTTGTACCACTTGGAAGTAGTAATGACATTGGCAGACATAGCCAATTCTTTGTCCCAGAACTCTGCTCAATGTTACAGATGTGGGCAGTCCTCAAGAAAAGGTGGAAGTCTGAAAAGTGAATTAAAAATCAAATTAAATGCTTACAAATTTTGCTTAAACAGAAGAACTATTTTGCTCCTGCCAACTGCTGTTCCATCTGTAATATGTTGGAAGATTTTGTCTGTATCCCGATGTTTTACTGACATGGTATACACAGCAGAAAGATTTGTTCTGACCCCTATAGAGACTGATAACATTTTAAAAGAAATTTGAACTTTCAGTGGATCAAGATTTCAAGTGTTAAGATTTTTACTCTAATACTCAAACTATCCCACATGAATGAAACATTATTACTTTACAAGTCCAGGAGGTCTACCAGGGGTCACTGCTGTGTTAGGGAAATTGGGGAAGTCAATTCGGCGAGTTGGGGGCAGCATGATAGGATACAGAGGGACAATAATTGTGATGAGCAGGGAATCTCAACATACAGTAGACGATGGAGCCTTGGAGAATATGGTTAACTGTGGGAGAAGTGGTTAGTGATGGTCACAACCACCCTGGCCTTGAAAGGGGTACAATGCAGCACAATGGTTGGTATTACTAAGCTGCAGTGCCAGGACTTGGGGGATAATGTTAAGAAATTGAGTTGTAATTCAAAGAAGTGTGTGAGAATGTGCGAGAACTCTGTACTGATGTACCTGACGAAGGGTGCGAGGAAGAAAGGAATACGGAGATTTGTTGAGGGGGGGGCAGTGGTGGTGTGAAGATTAGCAGGCTGAGCCTGCAACTCCCAGTGCCAAGCACAAATTGTGTTGCCTTACACATTCTTGCAATTTGTAAATGCTCGCTGGCAAAGGAAAATGGCTATGACCACAACCTCCAAGTTTTCTCTCAAAATCGCAAAATACTGCAGTCGCTGAAAATTTGAAATAAAAACAGACAGTGCTGGAGGAATTCCAACAAGTCTAGCGGCATCTGTGAAGACAGAAACAAAGTTAACATTTCAAGTCCCATGTCATTCTTCCTCAAAACTTCTCTCTCTCCCCCTCCACAGGTGCTGTCAGACCTGTTGAGTAATTTGTGTTTTTGTATCTGATTTTCGCATGTCACCTATTCATGCATATGTAGAAGAGACACATTTTGGCTTGTCTCTCCTCTCTACCCAAGACCCCAGGCACTCCTACTAGTGAGAAAGTGATTTACATGCACTGTTTTCAATTTTGTGTACTATATTGACCACTCGCAGTGCAGGCAGCTCTGCAATAGGGATACTAGGTATAGATCAGGAGCCACGTTAATGAACACCTCCATTCAGTCCATGGTTCCCATTCTGCTTCACCCTGTCCTCATGCTCACCTGTTTAAGAAGAAAGCTATAAGATAGGAAATTATACACCAGTTG